GGGTGCTTTGAAGCCTTTGCCTCTGGGATTGCGACTGTTCAAGATGTCAAACAGCCTGTCTGTTATCTATAAACAAATATCTAAATTTACTAGAAGCACAAAAAAATATCACTGTAACTGAGTGTCAACAAGTATCAGATAGTAAACACCAAAGGATAAGGCATAGTATGATTTGTCTCAATTTCCTCTGTGGCTATGCATTTTTTTATTAAATTACTGCACTGATTTAAACCTGTGAATCTGAGATGTGGCAATAAGGGGGTTTCTGATGTAAGTATGAGGTGGGAATAAAGAGTTTTATCCAACTTCTAGCATATTGTTGAATTTGAGGATGTTCAGTAATTATTTAATTGTTCTTGATGCCTAAATTAAAAAAATAAATAAATAAAAAGATACAGGGTTAATTCTGGTGACATTCACATTTTAAATATTGCCTACAGACCAACCACAAATGGAAGGTGAGCGTTAAAGGATTAAATGGGTTAAAGCAATAATTCACTCAAATGTTGAAGATGATTTTGGTCAACAATGCAAATCCCTTGCTGCATTACCTTTATGAATTCTGCAGTAGCCTCACAATCTTTGAACTCTGCATAGCCCAACTCCTGCAACGTGCAGAGCGCCACTGCCACAGAGCTACTCAAAGTCTGAGCAGCCAGGGAGACCTTGATAAAGTGTAAAAGGAGAAATTAAGTGCCTATAAGCGCTACAAACATCTAAAAGTTTATATAAAATAAAACAATATATACAGATATAGCCCTAGAGCCCATTACTACTGCGGCCCTCTATACATTAAGCATCAAACAAACATACCTTCGTCTTCTGATTAGAAAAGTTCACATGCTTATCTGTGACTCTATTGGCAGCATGTAGTCCACTTTTCTTTTGGACATTGTTCAGATTGACTATGTACTTCCAATTGATACTGCCATTTATGCTTCCAATGGGGCTGTATGCCTGCAGAATCAGATTTTTTTTGTAAAGCACTATATTCTGCACAATTATGTAAATACAATCAAAATGTATAAAAAGCAGAGAGACTCAATCAGAGCAGATATTTGAAACAATGAGGATGTACCTGCAACATATTGCGTGTCAGCTTCAGCATGTGGCAAGCGTCCATCATAACAAAAACATTGTCATTGGTTACTGGATGTGGAAAATGGGTCTTCAAGGGCTCACAGGGGTCTGCTTTTAGATCGCACCCAAGTTGAGTGCACATACTGACATTGGATGCATGTCCATCCATTGTCATGCACACCACTCTTATCTGACGACGATGCAACTCTTCCAATGCATGCTCTATTAAGACTGTCTGTGATTGTGGTGTGAGGGACTTGGTTAGGTAATATGCAATCGGAGCTTTCCAATAACCTTGAAGCCCAACCACCATGAACACAAGAACTTCGGAAGCCATGTCAGTCTCATTCAATCGATCCCCCATGTCCACATATCCAAACATTGTTTGTGTCTGAGGGTCATACTGGACGTGATTTTTGATGGACATGGCATCCAGCATCAGAGTGACACATCCGTACTTGACCTCATCTTCCTGACGCCGTCTTTCCAGCATGTCCAACATCATTTTATTGAGACCAGGTTTGGCATCAAGAGAACTCAGCCACCTTAGTAAAATTAAAAAGTAGACATTTAACCATCAACACAAGCATCCCAAATGTAGACACTAGATAGAGAAAAAAATTGCTATAATATCAATATGTGAGACATGAGCTGTTAGATCAGTAAGTTTAACCATTCATGATATTATTGTCTGTAGTGCTTAATGTAATTCAATATAAAATTAGACATCATGAAGAATACCTTTGCAATGAACTGGGGTGTGGCAGGTGTATATGCAGGGTATCTCTCAGGTAGTGATATGCCTTTGGACCATGCAGATGGAGCGTAAGGGCAAAATCTTTCTGGTCCTTGGTGTACTCTACGCCCTGCCTAGACAGGAGATGAACCGGAAGATCTGTAATTGAATTAGCAAAGTGATTCAGTAAGTATGTTTTTAATAGTAACTAGGAACTCAACAAAGAACATAAAATACACAAAATATTCAATGTAATATTTTTATTTCACCTGAATAGCATTCAAGGTTATCTCTTAGCTCTTCATTGATTAGATTTTTCTCCTTCAATTCCTCCAGAAGAGCCTGCATGTTCATCTTGGCCCTCTTTTCTCTCCTCAAGGCATTACTCTTCTCCCGCTGCAGTTTCCTCACGGTTGCTGAGGCTTCTTCAAGTTTGGCTTTTATAGCCTTAGGGCAAGCAGGCAATGCATACAAGTGGTCAGTGGCCTGCCGCTTGCAGCTCAAACCCCTCTCTCCAGTGGCTCCCTGTTGTTTTGCAGAAATATATAAAAAAATATATAAATAATAGTGGTATAGAAATTACTTACTTTTTTAAGAATTAAATGTTAACTTTTCAATTCTGTGAGCCTAAATACAAGATACTCCAATTATCCGACAGAAAACACAACAGCATACATTTAAGTAATTGTATAGGCTTGTCCACTTATAAGGCAAAAATATGTTTTGTGGCTCTGAAAAAAAAATGTCTCTTTTGATTGTAAAGGCTGCCTACCCTTGGGTTTAGTTTCAATGTTCACACATGTTTATAAATTCAAGTTTATGAGCAACAGAGTCAAACTTTTTATAAGATAAAGGATTTAATGTAACAAATTTTTTACAAGCCACATGAAAACACTCACAACATCAGGTTGAGGTACATCCTGGGACAAGTCCATTGCCAGGTTGTCTTCCACTCTTCTAGAGGTGGTTGTGTTTCTTGTGGCTACGAGCCAAAAATTAAGTAAAGAGGTTTTGAGTGTCTAAAAGATGCTACTAAACAACACATTATATATCTTGCAGAAACAAAAACAAAAGTGACCAGCAACAATTCACGGTGTATAAGATTGGTATATCAATATGTGATTAAATTTCAATGATACACATACCCTTTGAAGATGAGCTGGAAAGTTGAAAATTTTGGGCACAACACCATCTTTAATTCGGACTGTCTGCCCTGTTCGGTCACTCCTGAAGTGCTCACTGCAAAGCAGAGTCCTGTCAGTCGCAACAAAACCGTCCCTTCTTAGGGCAAGTTCTCACAGCCTCCTCATCTTTTCATTTTTGGGAAACCTTAAAAACGTGAGAAATGTTCCAAGAAGTATAAATTATTGTCACCATTTCCAAAGCTTTTTCCTTCTTTCAACATTAAGGGTAAGCACAAAAATACACACCTAAATGAAATATGTTTGGGGTAATTGTATGTATGTATGCACTTGAGAATAACACAACCACACTAAACTACTTATAAAAAGTTGTTCAAACGAAGCTAATACAAACTTATAAAAGCTTTGAGTCAACAGCAATCTTGTAATACTATTATGTCATAGCCCCGCTGTTCCTGTGTAACAGAGCCTGTATTGTACATACATCCACTAATTAACTAACAATTATCCCAAATACAAATCATAATTTCATATCTTACATGTGAAAGGTGATCCCACTGGCTCTCGTTTTGACACTACGGCGATTGGAGCATCCGTAGGCTGCACAAAAGTCAGGCATCTTCCCTTTAAAAAACCCAGCAAATTCCTGTAACATAATGTAAGATGTTTTGACAAACCAAATCGATTGGAAATCATGTATTAATCATGTATAAATTCTGCCTTTTCCACTGATGTAAAGTTGCTGGTTAACTTTAGCAGCTAGCTAAACTGTAACGTTAGCTGCTAACTTACTAACTTTAGGTCTCACTTCGCAGCTTCTTCTTATTAGCCAGCTAACGTTAGGCTAATAACGAATATACAACAACACTCAGATTATTGTTATTAGCCAACTAATAACTACAACCACATCCACAAAGATTGTAATTTACACCAAAGATTAATTGTCATACAATCGTTATTGGTGTCAGTAAAACCTATATAATTGTCATACAATCGTTATTGATAACTTGCGCAAGTAACCGTGATGCACAACTATGCTGCACGATCAAGTCATTTTTCGACAAGAAAATCTGCAATTTCGACATGTTCAAGCATCAAGAATTATAGCCACGTTCATAACGTTTGTAAGAAACCAAACTGTTTGTAAATCCGTCAAGAATTCAATGAGATAAGAGTATTTGTGTTCGTGCTGATCACCCACCTTACATTAAGTACCACAGAGCAAACCAGAAAGCCTGCCTGAGGTAAGATGGCCGCCCGGTGATGACGTTTGAGACTCCGCCGTATGACATCTAGCCTTTATTATGGATATCTATGACAGCAACCCCCCAGGGGCTGAATTCTGAACATGCTGGAACTCATAACTGGTGAGTAAATGGTTGGACTTTCCCAGTACCCCTGTGGTAATCTGGTGTACATATATCTCTGTCTTCCAAATGTGTATGCAAACCAAAATTGTCTATCTTGATCCTCCGGTATGGAAAAGAAATAATTTCTTCAATTCAATTTAGGACTTATGTCAACCACAGTGAACACATTTGCATCTGGCCTCAGGGAGTTTAATAAAGTGTGAGGGTCAGGCACACCAGGAGCTCTTAGTATTACTGTTTTATTTACTGCTTGTAGTTTGTTTACCAGTGGTGTAAAAACTACACCTATTTGTTTGCTAAAGTAGAAGTATAGATACTGCAATATTTGTACTTGGTTACTAGACACCTCTGTTGTTTGCTGGATAAATGGGAATATTGCATGGTCAGTCTTCACAATTAATATTTTATAAAAATATTGAATAACTGGTTTAATAACCTCATATGCATCTGGTTTTAAAGGATATTTTTTACCACGTGGTCTGTATTCAGTTTTGTACTAATTTGTGCCAGTGATGTGACATTTACCAGTCCAAAATTTGTTGGTCCTTTTGACGACAATTTCTTAGGAACAGCTTGCAAAAGCTTTTCCTCTTCTTCAGCTGACAAAAATAATCATTCCTTTTGAGCAGGCATCCCCACAGTTGGTCCTTGGGGGCCACTGTCCTGCAGGTTTTAGAGGTTTCTCTGCTTTAGCACAGCTGATTCTGATGATTGTAGTTCAGCAAAAGCCTGTTAATCACATATCAATGTAGATCAGGAAACCTCTAACACCTGCAGGACAGCGGCCCTCCAGGACCGATTTTGGGGATGCCTGCTTGGGATTTCCATATGCACTGTGACAGTCCAAAAGACAGCATCTTTAGTGAACCCTGTGGAAGTGCTGGTCAATGTATTTACAGAAGTTGCCACCCAATCTTTGGCAGTTTCCACTCTAAGTTTCTCTCTTTAAAAGTGTGGTGGTGTCCAGGTTTTATCTAATTTACACAGATCTAAGTTTACCCAGCTTTGTTTCATACTTTATCTGGGCTGTGTGTATTTTTATACCACAGAATAATGTATAAGTCTTGATCAGACATTTTATCCTGTTCTTGAGAGATCTCTTTCTTCTGCTCATTCAGCAGGGCATCGGCATCTCATGAGGGGTCGTGTTGGTAATGTCTAAAGAATGATAATAATATGGAGGACCTGTTCCCTGGAGAAAATAAAGTCTCCTAGTCTCCTTTCATTTCCACCCAGGGACAACAATCTGTGGCTGGATGGTAGGTATTAGGGCTAATCCCAGTCAGAGCAATCCATCCCCTTCCCAGTATTTACTGGACAATCTGGAACCATTAAAATGGGTAATTGACAAGTCAATCCCTGTGGATCTCTTATCCAAACTGGTTCTGACTCTGGAACTTGATTGATCTTGGAACTTTTAGGCTGGATTTTTTCCTTGTTGCTCTCCTCTACTTTGCTCTGCCCTCTGCTCATTAGCTTTCATCACATCCACCTGTTCCTGCTGCTATTCAAGCCTCTGGACCCCAGTCTTTGGTGGCAGATTATTCAAGCTTCTGAATGAGACTAACCCTAGTGTTCCCTGTGTTTAGTTCTGCTGGTTCCTGATATTTTTCTGCCCTAGGACTTCTGAGTTTTCGAACCCCCCTGTTTGCTCTGTTTGCCTGTTGTGTGTTTCTGGACTGTTACCTGGATCCTGCCTGCTACCGACTTTTGTCCTTTCTTCTGACCACGGCTTGGATTTACCCTCCTGGATCTTTCAGTTCCCCTGCGTACTCTGGCTGCTGTAGGAAGCTGCTCCTCTTCTCTCCTGGATCTCTGGTGCCGGCTCACTAAAAGGCAAAAGGGTTCCACTTCTCTGGACTTCACTCCTTCTTTTTGGGCACAGACTGACCTTTGCCAGGTGGGTAGCTTTCATGCTCATTATTGACCACCTCTTAAGTTTTCAGGTCACTGTCCTGAGTCTCTACTCTTGCAGAGTTTTCAGTGAGCCCATCGCAGCAGACGAGCAGCTGCACGTTATTACAACAAACTCTCTTTTGAATATATCACTGTCTGTCTTGCCTGAATTATGGGTCCTATACTCTGAGCCTTCTAACAGGAAACAAAGTTAATTTCCAATATTCAATTCAATTCAGTTTATTTCTATAGCGCCAGATTCACATCATGTCATCTCAGGTCACTTTACAATCAAACAGATCATCCAATCAGATTGATTCAAAGTTTTCTATCTAAGGAAAACCAGCTGATTGCATCGACTCATTGACTCTTCAGCAATCCCTCACACTAA